CAGTTCATATTGCAGCATTCCATCTGTAATCGTAATAGAACCATTGCTTTATTTGGCGGTGATGAACTTAAACTTGTTTCACGACGTTTGGTCAGGTCCAGAACAAACGCAGACACCTGGACTTGGCTTAATTTTTATTTCTTCCCCACCCACACAGACACGTGTGAGCGCGCGCACACACACACGCATACAGACACTTCTCCTGGGTCAGCCAGTGCTGAAATTACTTTCAAACGAGGACCCAGCCTGGCCCCCCTCCAGCGTTTTCACCCTTGGGTCAGCGCAGTGGATGGTGGGAACCAAAGGCGGATGCTTGGCATTTGACCTGAACGCGGCGAAAGGTGTGCCATAAAAGTCAGAGACGTTTTCATTGGCGGCAATTGCAGCGTTACCCAAAAGGAGAGACCAGTGCTGCTCAGATAGTCCTTCTCGCCATGAATTCAGCTGGTGGGATCGCATTTGTATTGGCTTTCTTTCTCCACGGCACCATAAGCCAAAGTAAATGTGAGTTTTCTTTTTTTCTATGTTTTATGCAGTCATGCGGAACATTTCAGGGTAATACCGCGTTTTCTCTTTTTCGTTAATTTTCTGAATGCTCTACACTTTTTTTTTAATTTTCAAAATTGTTTACGAGAAAATTTAAATTACGTCGATACGAATGTGATATTTCAGAGACTAATCATCGGGACTGTCTTTCCTTTTAAACATTTTCTTCTTTTCAGTTTATCAGATTGACGTCAATCCGAGTCTTTTCGACGACTACTCACGTGCCGCGCGTGCAGTGCGCGAGATCTATGAATCCGAGTTGGCATTTGCATTAAGATCACCAGGTGCGTCTCAAACTCATATTTTTTAAACGTAACGTTCAGTTTCTGTTGTTTTTCTGATTTTTCTTACCTCTTTATTCATTTATTTTACTTACTTATTGTTTTTTCATATATTAAGCTTCCATGTCTCAGACTTTTTGGCAATGAATTAAAACATTTTACATTCGAAGAGTTTATTAAGCGTGTGGTTAAATACGAAATTTATGTCCCCCAAGTTTTAGAACGCTAAAATTAAGATATTTATTTGTGCATAATGTATGCTATCGGGCTTTGATTATAGACAAATTATGAATGGCGCCAATTAAAATTTTGTAGCCTTGTATGAAACAAGTGCCTAGAAAATTATTCCTAGTTTCGTGCATCTAAACCAACGCATACACTGAAACGCGTCTAAATTCCTTTATCGTAATAACGAAATAAAAGCAATTTATACATTTCTTTCCATCAACATTTGCAACCAGCTGAGGCGAGAAGATTCCTATTTGGCTTCGATGTCATAGCTGAGAACATGAAGGGTGGCAGCGTCTTCACGAAATTCATCGATTTCACTGGTCAGCTCCAGACGGGAATATTCGGAGAACTTTTAAAAAGGTAAAAGATAAAAAAGTGAAACGACTCGGTAGTTTAAGAAGGACAATCACTTCTATAGACCAGTATATAATCATATCGCACCCATGATGGTAACAACGGTGGTAGACCCACGATTTTATTATTATTATTATTTTAGACTTAAGGTCAGGTCAACTTGACAAATTATTGACTAGCAGTTGGGATAAATGACCGACGCCGAACGCGAACTATAATTGTTTTGTTACATTTTGAAAAATACACTCCCCAATTGTTACGTTATGTCGCGACCAGGCGTACACTAGTGACAACTTAACGTGCACGTCAATACAAAGAAGAACCAACAATTTGTTATGATACCAATTAAATATGTAATTATTTTTAATTTCTAACTGCCTGAATTGGCTTAGTAAATGGATTTGTACGCCATTGGTATGAGCGTGGTGGCCTTAAAAGCCTGGTGTGAAGTGGGAAGTCAGAGGACCCTGACTTGATCCCCCCAAAATGCTGAGTCTTTTTTTCATAAATAAAATCCAAACCTAAGTTCACCGGCTGGGAGGTTAATATCATCTGATATTTGTCCGCTGTCCATCAAATGGCGGGCATCAAATTACATGTACGTGACTATGTAATATAGTTATTTGTTTGTTTTTTTTTTTAATTTTATTTTGCTTTGACCTTTCGACATTTTTATAAAGATACTCTGAAGTTCACTTTCCTAAACAATATTATTTTAATCCACAAAAGTGAAGATAATTTTAAGTGGATGAGGGTAGGTGGCAGGGTCATGTAGGTGAAGTTGATTTAGGTTCAATACCCATTGTATTATTTAGAGAAAATGGCCCAATGTACAAATATTAGTTCAAGTAATGAAGTAAAATAATCAAATATATTAAATGTCGTGAAATCGTCATATAGGAATCATGACTATCATCTTTTTATGCTTAGGTATCGGCAAGTGTATGAGCCTGGTATGATATTCACCGTGCCCGACAGAACCTTTGAAGGCACGGAACCAATCAGCGATAAGATCCAGCCGTGTTACAAGTTTGCCCCGCAATGTGATCCCTACGCCGTTTACAGGACAATCGACGGCTCGTGTAATAATCTCCAGACGCCAATTTGGGGAAAGTCCTTCGTAGAATTCTTCCGGTTACTTCAGGCTGAATACGGCGACGGTAAGTAATTTTAAAAAAAAATCATTATTTTGTAAAATGTTGTGGACCGAGGGTAAGGGGAGGTGTTTCGCTCATAAACCTCAGACCAAAACAGTACATTTTTGTGTTTGGATAGCAAGGGCAAGGATGGAATCGGGGAAAGTGCGTGATTCCTTATGAAATATAAAACTCTTTTGTTGTCTCTATTAACGCATTAGTCTATAGTGTTTCTATTACTACCCTGTGTGTGTTCCCTGTGTGCTGTAGTTCAATATGCGCAGTTTATAGGGGCTCTGTCACTTTAGTCAATTATCCCTTTTTTCCTTGAATTTCGTGGCTTAGGTGGGACTCAAATGCAACACTTTTGAAAACAGTACTTTAACGTAGAATTGTTTTTCTTTTTTTTTTAAATAAATTATCTTTTTGTTCCTGTAAGATGTGGGCTACCAATTTGATACTAATATGGCATCCACTGGGCGAAATATTTCTACACAAGGTGTACTTACGACATTGCTTTGCGCTCGCTAAAGGTTCATTTAATATACCAGTAATTAGTGTGCATTGTGTGTCCATCATTAGTCTTCATTAGTTCAGTCGTTATATAAACGTTACTTAAGATTGTTACTGCAGTCATAGGGACCATTCCCAGACCCTTTCGTGCTAACTGTGAAGCTATCTCTGAGGGGTTCTCGTTAAATTGCAATCAACTTAAGCGGCTTAGATGTCTGTCACGCCTACTGAAGCTGCTAGAGGGTATTTAAGACTGGGTTCCACATACCTATATCGATCTAACAGGATCGATCCATGCCCACTGAAGCTGCTAAACGATAATTGATTACCCATTTAGCGAGAAACCCCCTCAGAGATAGATTGATCCACAGTAAGTAGGATAGGGTCTGGGAATGATTCCTTAGACACTTGAAACTATACATAGACCGATCCAACTCAGGCATCTCGCTGAATACAATCAGTTTACATAGTAGCACGTACTGTACTCCTATATTTACTTGTTTTTTCTGTAGTGTACGCCACGCCACAAGGACGCATGTTAATCCGTTAATCTCACTGCATTTAGCTAGAATCTCCGCGGAGTTGGATCGACTGATAGTTTCATTGGTAAAGAGAACATAGTGAACCTATCACAGAATGCTCTCATATCCAAGTGCACCTGTAACGGAATTAGTAAATAAGAGAAAAAGAAGACAAAACGACTTTTCAAAGATCGAGGGTTAAGGGTGCTGAGCTAACAGTAAGAGACGTTTTCGCTTACGTTTTGTAGAGTTTATATCTTGCACATTAGAATGCATTTACGAGTTTTGTAGGGGAGACCGGGGCTAGTTGGCCCAGTTAGACACTTTTGGCCTTGTAGAGCCAACTAAGAATGAGTTAGAGTAACAAAATCGGTTTCAAAGTAAGCCCCATGAACTAAGCTACGTATGCAACGTCATTATTTTTCAAATATAACNCATGCATCTAAACCAACGCATACACTGAAACGCGTCTAAATTCCTTTCTCGTAATAACGAAATTAAGCAATTTATACATTTCTTTCCATCAACATTTGCAACCAGCTGAGGCGAGAAGATTCCTATTTGGCTTCGATGTCATAGCTGAGAACATGAAGGGTGGCAGCGTCTTCACGAAATTCATCGATTTCACTGGTCAGCTCCAGACGGGAATATTCGGAGAACTTTTAAAAAGGTAAAAGATAAAAAAATTAAACGACTCAGTAGTTTAAGAAGGACAATCACTACTTTAGACCAGTATATAATCATATCGCACCCATGATGGTTACAACGGTGGTAGACCCACGATTTTATTATTATTATTATTTTAGACTTAAGGTCAGGTCAACTTGACAAATTATTGACTAGGTTGGGATAAATGACAGACGCCGAACGCGAACTGTAACTGTTTTGTTACATTTTGAAAAAGACACTCCCCAATAGTTACGTTATGTCGCGACCAGTCGTACACTAGTGACAACTTAACGTGCACGTCAATACAAAGAAGAACCAACAATTTGTTATGATACCAATTAAATATGTAATTATTTTTAATTTCTATCCTTTGAAAAAATCCCATCGTGTTAAATAAAGGCACGTAGACATGCAACTTTGAACCATTTAAAAATGAGATAAGCTAACTGCCTGAATTGGCTTAGTAAACGGATTTGTACGCCATTGGTATGAGCGTGGTGGCCTAAAAGCCTGATGTGAAGTGGGAAGTCAGAGGAGCCTGACTTGATCCCCCCAAAATGCTGAGTCTTTTTTTCATAAATAAAATCCAAACCTAAGTTCACCGGCTGGGAGGTTAATATCATCTGATATTTGTCCGCTGTCCATCAAATGGCGAGCATCAAAATACATGTACGTGACTATGTAATATGGTTATTTGTTTGTTTGTTTTGTTTTTTTGTTTTTTTTTATTTTGCTTTGACTTTTCGACATTTTTATAAAAATACTCTGAAGTTCACTTTTCTAAACAATATAATTTTAATCCACAAAAGTGAAGATAATTTTAAGTGGATGAGGGTAGGTGGCAGGGTCATGTAGGTGAAGTTGATTTAGGTTCAATACCCATTGTATTACTTAGAGAAAATGGCGCAATGTACAAATGTTAGTTCAAGTAATGAAGTAAAATAATCAAATATAATAAATGTCGTGAAATCGTCATAAGGGAATCATGACTACCATCTTTTTATGCTTAGGTATCGGCAAGTGTATGAGCCTGGTATGATATTCACCGTGCCCGACAGAACCTTTGAAGGCACGGAACCAATCAGCGATAAGATCCAGCCGTGTTACAAGTTTGCCCCGCAATGTGATCCCTACGCCGTTTACAGGACAATCGACGGCTCGTGTAATAATCTCCAGACGCCAATTTGGGGAAAGTCCTTCGTAGAATTCTTCCGGTTACTTCAGGCTGAATACGGCGACGGTAAGTAATTTTTAAAAAAAATCATTATTTTGTAAAATGTTGTGGACCGAGGGTAAGGGGAGGTGTTTCGCTCATAAACCTCAGACCAAAACAGTACATTTTTGTGTTTGGATAGTAAGGGCAAGGATGGAATCAGGGAAAGTGCGTGATTCCTTATAAAATATAAAACTCTTTTGTTGTCTCTATTAACGCATTAGTCTATAGTGTTTCTATTACTACCCTGTGTGTGTTCCCTGTGTGCTGTAGTTCAATATGCGCAGTTTATAGGGGCTCTGTCACTTTAGTCAATTATCCCTTTTTTCCTTGAATTTCGTGGCTTAGGTGGGACTCAAATGCAACACTTTTGAAAACAGTACTTTAACGTAGAATTGTTTTTCTTTTTTTTAATGAATTATCTTTTTGTTCCTGTTAGATGTGGGCTACCAATTTGATACTAATATGGCATCCACTGGGCGAAATATTTCTACACAAGGTGTACTTACGACATTGCTTTGCGCTCGCTAAAGGTTCATTTAATATACCAGTAATTAGTGTGCATTGTGTGTCCATCATTAGTCTTCATTAGTTCAGTCGTTATATAAACGTTACTTAAGATTGTTACTGCAGTCATAGGGACCATTCCCAGACCCTTTCGTACTAACTGTGAAGCTATCTCTGAGGGGTTCTCGCTAAATTGCAATCAACTTAAGCGGCTTAGATGTCTGTGACGCCTACTGAAGCTGCTAGAGGGTATTTAAGACTGGGTTCCACATACCTATATCGATCTAACAGGATCGATCCATGCCCACTGAAGCTGCTAAACGATAATTGATTACCCATTTAGCGAGAAACCCCCTCAGAGATAGATTGATCCACAGTAAGTAGGATAGGGTCTGGGAATGATTCCTTAGACACTTGAAACTATACATAGACCGATCCAAATCAGGCATCTCGCGGAATGCAATCAGTTTACATAGTAGCACGTACTGTACTCATATATTTACTTGTTTTTTCTGTAGTGTACGCCACGCCACAAGGACGCATGTTAATCCGTTAATCTCACTGCATTTAGCTAGAATCTCCGCGGAGTTGGATCGACTGATAGTTTCATTGGTAAAGAGAACATAGTGAACCTATCACAGAATGCTCTCATATCCAAGTGCACCTGTAACGGAATTAGTAAATAAGAGAAAAAGAAGACAAAACGACTTTTCAAAGATCGAGGGTTAAGGGTGCTGAGCTAACAGTAAGAGACGTTTTCGCTTACGTTTTGTAGAGTTTATATCTTGCACATTAGAATGCATTTACGAGTTTTGTATGTTGCTTTTTTATAACTTGACTGTAATAGTTCACCTCTATTGCTATAAAGGTCACTATCGTCACACGCGGTTTCTTCCACGCTTTTGCTAGTTTTCCTAGTTTCCCCCGTATGTCGCCAGTGTCGCAGGCCTTGTTTTAGACATGATGATGGCCAGCAATGGCTTGTATTCTTTGTTGAGATCAATGTTCCCTTAGGGCTTCCACAGTTGATTTTTATTTATGAATTTCGGCTCGAAAACATTCCCCATATTTTGATTTATTTCTACGTTTGAATCTGCCTGAATGTTTCATATCCCCTTACTTAAATCTAATTTTGCTTGTACTTCTAAATAATGGGTTGTTTTAATCTTGTTATACAAGGTGTTCGGATCCAGCTATCATCCCTACGGTCTAAAAAATACATTAAACGTTTTTCTTAGAATTTGAAATTATACGATTATTGCGTGTTAAAGTGTCATAAATGAGTTGTAAAATATATACCTAAAGCTATTGTCGGCCTGTCTAGTTTTTAGGTGACAAACAACCAGACTCTGAATCACTCAAGGTCAAGGTTGCGTCTGGTTTATAGGCCAGTATTATAACCCATACATGTCGTAAAAATAATGGCCCACTTATGATAAACAAAAAGCAGGGCAATTTTTGTACATTGATAAGCCTCAATTATCATCAAGAGAGAGGCGAGATTTCCATTTGAGCCCGACAAATTTGTGAGTCAATTTAATACCTGAACCGGGCACAACCTATTTTCTAACCACTGACTAGGCAGTATGATTATAACGGCATGGCACTTCAAGCTGCAATACCTCAACCGGGCACAACATATTATCTTACCATTGACTAGGCGGTATAATTACAACAACATGTCACTCCAAGCTTTCTTACCAGGATTTCATGTTAAATGCTGCTGAGAATTTTTTGCTCGTTTCTTAATTTTCCATAGAATTCAATTAGATCTACTTCCAACCATTTATCCTATGTAAGGTGGAAATGTACTGAAGTATAACAGAATCTGAATCAAGAACACAGAGAGAGAGAGGGAGAGAGAGGGAGAGAGAGATATCTGCCATTTATAAGCTGTAATATTACGACACACGATTATAAACATTTCCGCTGTTTCCTGGCGAATATGACCATTTCTACAGGAGCTACCGCTGTACCCTCCACTTTAAATACCCTTTACCAGGGCGACTGATATATTTTTACAGATATTCACAGATATGTCTCTAGATAGATAGATGGTCATTTTAGGCTGAAGTCATCCCATGTGGAAACAATTATCTCTGCGCGCGCGCCAAAGGCTTTGTACTCGCTCTGCATAAGCTGAGCCTCACAACGATGTGATAACTGCTTGTTACGCAACCAGTCTAAGGCTTTTTTATCTGTCACAGAAGAGCAAGTGATTAAAGTCAGAGCAATGAACTGTCTTGATTGCTGTCACGCAGACTTAGACTGGACCTGCTAAGTGGCAGTGCCTGAGCAGTTATGCAAACAATTACCAGGCACGTAATCAGCCTTGAGATTTCTCAACAGGGTGACAGGGTACATTTTACACATATATTTTTATTTCCCAAGATAAGCATGTGTTTTTAAGACAAAGCCCTTAATGAAAACGTGAAGATTACCCTGAGTGTCAGAGCAACGTAAAAGCTAACTAGCTTAAATATACCTTGTGATGGAGTCGCTTTTACTAGGTATTGTTGATATGGGTTATATATGAAATCAAGATCGAGCTGGCAATACCGGAATCTAGAACCTAGGGTAGTGAAGATAGGATCTATCAATGCCCATTGATTTCAAATGGTTTTATTCATTGTTCCTCGCACATCTCACAAACAGTGTAAAATTTTATTTCAATGATTTTAGAATTTAATCTTAATACCCATCTATCTCTTACCCACTTGAGAAAAATAACTATCTCTTAAATAAGGCAAAAGTGTAAGGTGGAATAGTTGAAAAGGGAGAGAAGTGAGAGGAAAATAAATAGAAGAGGATAGTTGTAGAAAAGGGATGGAAGAGAAAGTGGATACCAGAACTAGCGTTTCTTACCTTTAGCTGAACAGGCTCCTCGCTGGACGGTTGGTGTCCTGTATGCTTTTTCGCACTAACTAGTGATTCAGTCACAACCTTATTATGTATTACATGGCGTGGCGCGCTTTGATGCATTTTGATTGGATATAAAATGCAGCCTACTGCAAGAGTACCCAAAGGGTTTTTTACCCTCTTTAACAAGTTCGCTTGCAAATATTTGTGACAAAAAATTATTATTATTATTATTATTATTATTATCATTATACTGAAAAACTTTTCAATCGAATTTCAATTTAAGCAAAATGATTCAAAAAAGACTCTTAAACATGTGGTCACAGGGGTTTTGAGACTGCCGCACTAATTTAATGGTCTAATTTTGTTACCACATTTAATGTGTCTTTTAATGACTCTTACATTTTTTTTAAAAGCATTTGAAAATATTTTATCTACAGAATATTTTAGTTTACTTGCATCTTTTAGTTTTAGTTTTAAGTACTTAAATATTATTTTTTTATTCAAAATGTGTAGTTTTAGTATTAATAGTTTTATATCTAAACGGCCCTGAAACGCATGTGTAGCGCAGTATCAAGAAATACGTTAATTTATTATTATTATTATTATTATTATTATTATTATTATTACGCCAGGTGTGGGTTCTTTGAGACGAGATAAGCATGGCAATGAGCTGCCTAGCGCCCGCTTAATTAGTACCGCTCTTCACGAGGATATCAGCGTCCCCATGCACCTGATCACCGAGTTTACCATGGAGTTTGGCCAGTTCCTTGACCATGATTATGACCGGGCACCGCTGACCAAAATATTGAAGATTCTAGGTGAGTAAATAATCCTGTTTGTTAAACACAATACTTTATAGGTCTTATATGTTTATCATTGACTTTTCCTTTGTTGGGTAATATGAATGTGCATAGTTGAGTGTATTTTAAAGTTGATAAAATTTACTAAAACTCATCCAACTATGTGTGTTTCATGATCACAGAGGAGCTCATTTTAACCTACTTTCTTGAAATTACGTATTGATAGTAGTCTAAGTCACGTCTCAAGAAAGAAATTTTGAAAGAGTTCATTTTAGCACTTCCTGAAAGTAAGTGCCGTACATGTACAGTGTAGTGTTTATATAAATTGTGGGCCGATATTTTGAAAAAAAAAAGTGTTGCACGCCCACCATACTTAAGGTGTTTGTACTCAATGCATATTTAAGTCACGTTTCTTTATATTTTCTATAAAAAAAAAAGATTTTTTTCAGAAACCCTGTTAGGCCACCTGTCAGATCGAGACATTTCCCAAAGGTGCCCCTGGCGAACTGGATATGTAAAAACGGAATATATGTACATGTATATGATCTATCTATCTGTTTCAGAGAATGGCACTGAGGTGACGATTGACGTTAAATGTGGCCCGGACGATTGTTCTACGGGGCCCGGAGAATTGGCTTCCTGTTCGCCAATATTCGTCCCTCCGAATGATTCCGACAATGTTACGAAACCGTGCTTCAAATTTGTGCGCAGCTCAGCGGCACAACGCGCAGGGTGTACATTTGGTAAACAAACTGATAAACGTCATGCTGTTAAAATAGCAATTATTATTATTATTATTATTATTATTATTATTATATTTGGCACTGTTCGGTTATGAATGGATGTTCTAACTGTTACGATCGGTTTTTATCGCCTTATACATGTCCAAGAATGACCCAAAACTAGAAACTCAAAAAACTGGTTTAATGGTCGTAATTCTGCCAATGTTTTGGAGATTGGATACCTTGGTGACTAACTTAAAGTGTCAACCCCCCTCCCCCCCCCCAAAAAAAAAAGGGGGGGGGGGGAGGTCTGCTATGAAAAAAGGTTAACTTGAATTGTGCACTAAAACAGGTCTTCCCTGCATGGATTTACTAGTACTAATACACAATCCGAAGTGTAAGTGCGCAGTTAAACAGTGTACCGATGTAAACAAGTTTTGTCGTAAAAAGATGTGATTCACGCCTTTTTTCCTTTCTTCCAAGGCGTCCGTGAGCAGACTAACGCCATCACGGCGTACCTTGATCAGTCTCTGGTATACGGGAACACAGACGAGGACGCCAAAAACCTCCGGGATCAAGATCCAAGTGGGTAGAATTTTGGAGTACAGAGTAATGTGTTCGTAGGCAGTTCAGTCTAAAAGTGAGACCTACGATAAGACATGTTAGATATTGATTTAAGGTATTGCCGACATAGATCTCCATTCTCCTTTGTTTTGGACAGCCCTTAAATATTACTAGAATTCTACATGTATAATTTGAATATGTAGGCTATTGACTTTAGTAATTTGAATATGTATCACAATTTTAATATGCATCTGCATCGATTATTGTTATTTGAACATACATTTATATATCGACCTTCGTGATTTTCATATTTATTGAATTATGTAATTTGAACATGTATGAACATGCAGTAACTGAATATATATATATATATATATATATATATATATATATATATATATATATATATAGTTTTGTTTTGTATTTTGAAGGTAGAGGAAAGCTTAGGACAAAACCCCATCCTTTCAATCCAAACTTGAAGCCCCTCCTCCCATCACGTGACGACCCGACATGCCGCGAGGTCAACGAGACAGTCACGTGCTTCCTTGCAGGTGAGGTGCTGTAATATTGGAGCGTCCTTTATCGTGGATATTTGCCTCTGGGGATCATTGCAAAGTTTACGTACCATTACACGAGTAATGTAACAACAAACAGTTTAATTATCGCAGGCAGAAAGTTTTATTACAGCTTATAACAGCTGTAGTTTCTACACCGCAGGCAGCTGCGGACGGCATACATTATGAACTTGAAGGGGTAACAACTCTTTATATGCGATTCAAAAATCTAAAATAAATGCATTGTAAACAACGCATAGACAGAATACACTGTACATTCAATCCCGCTTTACAACCAAAACGGCGGTTATTGCAATTATTCTGATATCTGTACTTGACATCGGACCACGTGGACCCTCAAAGACGGCTACCCTTTTAAGATATTAATACAATCTCTTGGGAGATGCACACTTATCAAAAACATTCGACTAACTTTGAATGCCGGAACTGATTCGTTAGCCGTTGGTTGGTAATAGGAATATAGTCGTTTACCGGAGGAAAATTCGTTTTATGACACGTAGGCCTACTTTTCCTGCAAAATGAAGTCTAGTCATCTCTTTAAATACTGCTCATTGGGCAAGAATACAGTTATATTGTGCACAACTGAAGCTAAAGGTAGAAAAGGTAGATCCCCTTCCTGAATCCAAGTTCCCCTTGTTGCGTTTTAAGTGAGTCGCCGTGCATTCCCAGACTGTCAACTTTATGTATGACGGTAAACGTCATTTAATCTTTATGATTCATTTACTTATTTATTTATTTACAGGTGACATCAGATTAAACGAACAGATGGGTCTGATGGCCAATCACCACATATGGGTGCGAGAACACAATAGACTGGAGGCGGAACTTCACCGCCTTAACCCCCACTGGAGCGGCGAGCGTCTTTATCAGGAGGCCAGGAGAATTAACATTGCCCAGTGGCAGTACATAGTCTACAACGAATACCTGCCGATCATCATAGGACCTGATGCCATGGCCTTACACCGACTCAATCCACTTAAAGAAGGTTATTTCACTGGTGAGTAAATGATATTGTCTGAATTTGACATGTTAAGAAATGCGATTGTTGCGCCGTGAGAGAGTTGTGACCGAGAGTGACGAGTGGTAAAGCATGTGATACTTTATACCTTACGCACGTGTTAATTGCGGTTTAAAACATTAGGTTAATGAGTATCTGAAACTAAACTTTGCTAAGAGAGAGCGAGAGGGAGAACGTTTTTATTTGAAGTTCAGGATTCTCTATATTTGATGTGATTTTCTGTTTGTCTGCATTAAAGCTGTCTTTTAAAAACTTATTTCAAAGCCGTGGTTGTTATCTTAGTTTAAGAATATTTGGTTAAGTTACTTGTACCAAAATGAACTGGTATAATATTTAATAAATATTTAATTCAAAGTGCTGTATTTCAGGTTATGACAAAAATATAGATCCCGGAGTGAGTAACATGTTTGCAACTTCTGCCTTCCGTTTCGGGCATAGCACCGTCCCCACCATACGCAGACGCTCTGACGTCAACCATAGAATTATAGAGAACCATGACTTTTCTACAGTAAGTATGGGTGCTTTCCCAGAGTTTTAGATCGATCTAAAGATTAAGATTTAGATCGACCTAACTCCCTGGGGGTTCACGCTAAATTGCAGTCAGCCGAGAGGGCACCATAGTTAATTACCCCCTTACAGCTTTTAGTAGGCGGGACAGACGCTTA